ACAGTTAAATAACCTCATTAAAAGCTTACTTAGATGATACAATGGTCTTATTGCATTTCCTTTTTAAAAGTCCTTAGGATTAATAATATTATTCCTTTTATTCCATTACTCTGGGGCCAGTTATGTCATTACTTGACATATGTCATTACTTGACCTGTGGGGCCCAGTATACCACTCTTGTGTAACACCACTAAACCTAAAAACATGCTGGGAATTAATTCAGTCATTGATGTTGGTATTTATCCCATCAGTGATTTACAGCACTGATGATCACTTAGTAATCTCATAAAAATAGCTGCATTGAGAAATACATAGTACCAATTCATGAAGAAAAGGTGTCCATGCATTTTAAATCAATAAGAGTTTAAACTGTAGACAATAATTAACTGGGGGAAAGAAAATAAAGCTTTGAGTAATCAGGACAACTTAACAAAGTTTTCTGCTCAGAACAAGTTATCATCACTGCCAAGCCACAACTGGCCATTAGGTCATGGATGACTATGACATGCATTGTGTTGCATTCAGCACACTTCAGGCTTCTCCTACAAGTTCTCCCTGACCAGAAATAATGGAATGGTGCTTACAGTGTCTGTGACCATTCCCAGTGTTCTGGGAAGCATGGTTGTGGAGTTAAGACTCTCTGTAGTTACACTTCTATTTATGTGCACACAACTGAGCTGTTCCAAGGACTGCTCCAATCCCTCTGGCACTCAGGTGTCTCACTAACGTGAATTCATTATCCTCAAACCAAAACTACGTTCTTCTCATTGAGTAGGTAGGAAACCTGAAGCACAAAGAGACTGAGCCTTGCCAAAAGTCACTTGGAGAACTGTGGGTGGCAGAGCTTGAAATCCAGCTCACTTCAATTAGCCGTGGGACCACATTTCTCTTTGCCATCCACCAGCTTACAAATGTACATATTTACAGTGAATGCACTGTAAACATGTACATTTCATGCTATTTTTGTGAAAATTTTGGCACTGAGTTCACAAACTAAACACCTGGAAGGAAGACACTGTGAAACTCCTCTCTCTTCACAGAGTCAGTCAGTCTCACTCTGCTTCTTCCAAGCAGGTGCCACTCCGTGCCTTGTCTGACCTGCTCTGGGGTGAAATAGTGCAGGAAGCTGCTGCCTGCCTCATCGGCTGTAGGAGCTGGACAGTGTGTGATGAATGAGGCTTGCAAGAGAAGGCAGACTGAGCTACCAAGAGGAGGCTGAGTGCTCACTCAGCTGGGATTCTACTTAAACCGAGCACCTTAGCACTAAAGCTGGACTTTCATGGCCAGTTTACACTTTCATGGCTCACAGCTACAGAGTCACATCTTCAATGACAACAGGAGTGACAACAATCAGTGTCAACAGTGACAACAGGAGAAATCCAGCCTCTCTCTAGCTAGAGCTCTTTCAATTTTACACTGATGTTAGTGCAGTGAATCAAAAAATGGAAATAATCTGAGTTAAAGGTCACTTAGGAATCAGTTGCCAGCACTCATGTTAGTGCAGTGCACTGGTGAATCAAAAAATGGAAATAATCTGAGTTAAAGGTCACTTAGGAATCAGTTGCTCAGTCAGTGTGCAGATAAAGGATTAATTGTGGGCAGATGGGGAAAGAGCAGAAATGTGTGACCAGGGAAATGAGAGCTAGGATGGCTTTTTCCAGCCACAGAGCCAGCTAATGGCAGCTTAAAGCAATCAAGAAGCTACAGTGTTAGTCTCATCCTCCTCTCTCTGTTTCAAGCCTTCTGGCCCTAGCTGTATACTTCTCCTTGAGGCCATTCAGGTCCTTCCAGTTGTCAGGACCCTAAAAGAACAACAGAAGGGTACCAGCTGTGGCTCCAAGAAGCCACTGAAGATCCTGCCTGGGTCAAGGCTGAAGGCAGCATGAACCTTCCAGGAATTTGCTTGCAGATATCCAACAAGGTCTTGTTGACCCCACAGCTTCTCACAGACTTGCACTTTAGCCCTGGTAGAAGATGTATATTGGTGTGAAGAAATGTATATTTTATCGCAACAGCCTTCTCCAGCAACTTCAGGTTTCTCCTCAGAAGCACATAGGTACCAATTCTCTAAGGAAAAATGAACAGCTTCTCTTTATTGCTGAGTCAAATTATATGGTATTCTCTGGTCTTTTTGCCAGAGGAGCAGAACCACAGTCAGTGAAATTTTCCCACATGGTTTGAAGATTGTAACATCAAGCATTAATTAAAGCTGCAAGTTAAAAAATACTTTTTGTGATGTTCTATATATAGTCTTTTCCTTTTGATGTACAAAATATCAAATTATTACATGAAAGGAGTTTAAAGTTTATCCCTTGTGTAAAGCAGGGCAGATTGAAGGACATTTATCTCAGTCTCTGAGTATTATTAGTAAATTCAGCATGAACACTGTGCTTCCCTGTATAAGCTGATTGGCCAGTGGGACATGTTCATTAACCTAGAAATTGATTTTTCAGGAATGCCATGTTGTAGTTATGCAACTCTGATGTCAGACCACAATTTGGCCACCCTTCTGCTCTCTCCTGTCTATCAGACAGACACTTCAATTCCTATGAAAATATTTCCAGCAAGCTGAACTCTTCAACACCAGCTAGGTGATAGAGTTATGAAATTCCCACTGAAAAATATCTGTCACCTAATTGGGAAGCCTGGTGTCTTCTGGTAAGCTTTCATATCTCACTGCTAGCATGTCAAAGAGATAAAAATGTGTTTTAGTAACACTAAGCTGTTTTCATACCAATAGTCTACTCAAAATGGCTTAGAGAAGCAGGGGAGTTGTCATCTGCTGTCAGAGCAGTAAGTCTCTACACTGCATCCCAGAGTGTGCTCATTTATAACCTGACCAAATATCCTGAGTAAAACAAAGAGGGACAAGAGGATCAAAAATCTAATTCTCCTTCCTGTAAGTGGGAGTTGCCTGTAAGAAGAATGCATGGTAGCATCAAGGAGCCCTCCTCCACAGAAGGAATCTAAAAAGCAAGGTGCCATTGCTACATCCATCCACAGTGCTGAAAGGAAACACTTGCCAGAACAGCAGGTATGCAGTGGCAATAGCAGAAACTCACTTTACACCAGGTCACTTAGGTTAATATATTGGGAATGCAGAGAATTACTAGCATGACTTGCAAGTCAGGAAGTATTATTTCCAGAGTCCAGTGTTACTCCATTTCATTCTAGATGATCAGCAGCTAATACCTCTTGGGAGTATTGTCACTGAAGAAAGGGCAATCTAGCACTAACTCTGCAAGCTCATTTGATTCACTGAGGTAGCTTCTTTTCAATGAAGAAAGTCCCTCCATACAGTCTTAAGGTCATAAAAATGAATGAATAATAGTTTATCTTGGAGAGCTCAAGATTTTTCTAGAAACAAAGCTGAACAAATGCCTCTCCCAGGACCTCTTATTTGTTAATTCAACAAGTTAATGTCTCCCCTCTTTCTCAATTCTAGTGCCAATATTCCTTATCGCACTGCCAGATGCACACAGGTACATTTCCATCACTCCTTATCACCTCCCATGGCTTCTCACACCACACTCCTCAAGTGTAAGGAGCCACTGTTTTGCCAGGAAAGCCCATGGTTTTATTAGACTCTGCCAAGCTGTCAGGCAGTGTTTACAAGCTCTGTGACTCTTTGATGTTGTGAATAATGAGACAAATGCAATCTAATGGACCACCTGCCCCTTCACTGGGAAAAACCACATTCTGGAGTCAAATCACTTAAGCAGAACAGCTGGGGTGCTGTGCAGAAGCAGACTGCCCAGATGCACAGTAAAATAGAGCTGAAAGAGACCTTGCAAGGTACCTCATCTTTCCCTCTGTCTTAGGACAGCATCTGCCAGATCTAAGACTTTCCTGGCATGTGTTTGTCAAAAGTCTTTAAAACCCTCCAGTGATGGAGATGCTGGAATCTCTCTGGCTAATCTTTTCTTGTAGTGTTTTGCCATCCTTCCCATTCAGATTTTTTTTCTTGATGTCTAACAAGAGCTTTTATTACTTCAGTTAGCATTACTCTGTAATGTTTTGTCTAAGATGAACGTGAAGTTTCTCTTTACAGAAATTCCTATTCCTCCAACTTCAATGTTTGTTCTTTTGGGGGAGTAATCTCAAATTTTCCTCAAAGCTATGCTTTCAAGACTTTTGATTATCCAGATCCCTGTCTTATCCTCTCTTCCACCCGCAGGTCCTTGAAATGTGGTGTTCAGAATTGGATATAGCTTACACTAAGGTCTGGAGTGTTGACTAACGTAGGTGATGTAACTCAGGTCTTATGCTTCTGCTGTACATTTATCTTTTTCATGTGTATAAGACAATGTCTTATATTTTATAAAAGATTACAATTTCTATACCCTTTTAAGACAAAAATGTCATATAACTGCTCCTCAACTTGTACTTGCATAGCTGAACAGCATCCATTCTCTGCATAGCTCCTAGCACCTGTTTCTCCTGATGTTCATTCTAGCTTTTTGGAAACTTCCTTCAATTCAAAAATTCCTTTCATTTATAACCAAAGCATCCAATACCCTTGGAGCCCTTCCCAGCCTTGTGTAATCTCAAACGATCCATCCTCTCCAGCCATCACTTGTCAGTCGCGGAAACAGCACACAAGGCAAGGCTCTGAAGAAATGTGGTTGTACCCACGCATTGTATCTGTCCCTTCTGACCTCAACCTTTGCCACCACTCTCATTTTCCTGATCTATTCTTACCCTGTTCCAGGATTGTTTCGCGGCTGCCTCTCGAACACATCCTTGCTTGCCGTGGCAGTGCAAAAGCCGTGGCAGGGAGGGGCGCAGAGGGAAGTTGCCTGTGTGCGGGTGTTACAGGTGGGGCAGGAAGAGAGGCGAGCGGCTGTCCGAGCGGGGCGCTGCCAGAGCGCATCCCGGCCGAGCAGCGGCCCCGCGGGACCCGGGCGCTCGGCCGGGGCTCCCGGTGTGATGCTGCCCGGCACCCACCCCCGCTCGCCCCCGAGACGCCCCGATCCCGGCCGGAGCCGCGCCCGGCGTACCGGTAGTAGCGATCATCCTTGTAGGGCGTCAGGTCCTCCTGGATCTCCCGGTACGTCTCCCGCACCCGCCGGCAGAAGCGCTTGACCTCGCCGCACAGCGGGCTGCCGAAGGCGGCGAAGTCCGCCTCCATGCCGCCCACGCCGCCGCCTCAGGGCCCGCGCTCCGCCATGGAGCCCCGCCGGAGCCCGCCCGGCGCTGGAGCCGCAGCGGCGGCGGCGGATGCGGGGGGAGCGGATGCAGGAGCGGGGGATGCAGGAATGGGGGAGGCAGGGAAGGGGCCGAATGCAGGGGCCACCGATGCAGGGGCGGGAGATGCAGGGACGAGGGATGCGGGAATGGGGGATGCAGCAGCAGCAGGGGATGCAGGGGCGGAGGATGCAGGGCGGGCTCTCGGCGCACGGCCCGCACCCTCGGGGGCGGCGGGAGCCGCTTCAGCACCACGGAGAGGGGCGGCCGGTGCCGGGAAGTAAGCAACGAGCTCTCAATATCTCTTTTGGTTTTTCTTTGTTTTTTCTTTTTTTTTTTTCTTTTTTTTTTTTCTTTTATGAAACTGTTTTGTTCTCAAAAGCACACCAGCTCTATGTAAAATAAATGCCCTGATTTTTATTGCTTCTTTTCCCCAACGTAGCAGGTATGTAAAAGAAACCCTATGCTAAATCCACTTTTCATGCATGGTCGTGACACTGTAAATGGTCCAAAACGAAGAATAATGCTGTTTACATTGTCTAAATCCAGAAACTCGGAACTGAACTCTAGTCAGTTTATAGAGCACCATGCTAGCTTCATTCATATTAAACTTTCCGTCATAAACAAATTCACATTTAAACTCGTTTAAATTATTCAATCAGTTGAAGCCTTAATTTCTACTAACTAATGTCAGTGATGATATCCATATTAAAAGCAAAAATTCCTCTTGATATGCAATCATTGTGTCTAGAAGGTATAAATATAGAAGTCTTCTGTACTGCTCCTCTCATGTAAATATCTTCCCTGATGACATTCAGGAAGCTGGGCTGGGTTATTTGCCAGCCTTGCCCTTAGTCTGTATTTTATCACCTACTAAGATTGGAACATTCATTTTTACTTAAATTGATCTCTCACAAATGTTGCTGGCAAGAGGTTACTCCTGGTGGTGCAGTGGGAGAGGGACAGACAACTCATCTTCCCCAGCAGGTGGGGGAGAAAGGAAGGTTCATCTCTGACAAATAATTTCTATTTTCTACCTATGAATATTTCTAAGCTTGAGAAGACATAGCAGCAGGATAAAATCCACGTGCACATTTAAGCCAGAGAAAAAAGGGTTTTCTCGTTGGTTTGTTCATTTTTTGAGGGCCCAGAGCAGCATCATTCCAGACACACAATGTTCTTTGTTGTGCTGAACATCATCCAGGCTGGCTTCCAATGGTGTTTGTATCCCTACACCTCAAATGCCATGGGAGGGTTCCACACCTTCTGTGGCAGGTTACTCACAGAGAAGGTGTTAGCATTGACCACATATTAACCCACCAACTTCTGCTATCAAAAAAACCAGACAACATTTCAACCAAAAAATACCAGATATTATGGGATTAAAATTAGGCTTGTGAATAGCAAAACTTGTGGGAAGACACAAGCAACTGTATATTCACATTGTGATCCACATTAAACACTCAAATGACTCTAAGGAGGTCAAGAATGCATTTTGAATCTCCACAACACTTCAATACGTTGACAAAACAAGCAGTACTCGGGGCTGTATGCAATTCCTAAGTAACATTTTTAAGGTAAATTTGGCTTACATCCAAACCTTTTCATCAAAGAAGTTTCAGGTTTCCTCATTTTAGTAAACGAGAGAAGCATTAAAACATATTTTTAATATTCAACAAACACTTCTATTAAAACTGCCAATCTATTTTCTTTCGTGAAGATCTGATATCTGATGAATGGAACATTTCAGCTTGCTGCTCACTTACCCAGCCCTGCAGACCTAACAGATCATGCTTCTCCCATGACTGGGTGTCTGTCTTTCCTGTCCAGTGCAGTCACAGCACAGACTGGCCTGTGTTTGAAATGTGTTTGGTTCTGCAGGAAGCACAACTTAAGCAAAAGCAAAGGGAGGCCAAGGTTGCATAGACAGCTTTGCAATAATAATAATAAGGTGCAAGAGTAACCAGCAGATAAGCAGCACCGGGGCATGACTTGCCCTGCTCATTTCAGGGCACCTCATCTCATCTATCCAAGCACAGCACCTTCTGTGTCAGCCTGATTTTGCTGATTCATAGACAGCTTTGCAAATAAGGTGCAAGAGTGACCAGCAGATAACCAGCACGGGGCATGATTTACCCTGCTCATTTCAGGGCACCCCAGCTCATCTATCCAAGCACAGCACCTTCTGTGTCAGCCTGATTTTGCTGATTTTCACAGCACGTGATAAAAAAGGGGCAGCATCAAACTGCATCTAAGAACAAACCGATCTAAAGTGCTGCTGAGAGTCTGACAAATCTCAGTCAGAATTCAAGCATCTGGAACTCAATTCATCCCCTGAGTGCTTCTGGACTTCATGAGGGAGAGAAAAGCCCCAAGAGTCTAAGACTAAGATGTAACCAAACTCAACATCTGTACTGCATCATATCACATAACCTGGAAAGAGCTTATTTTTGAGGGTGGAGTTTATCAGAAATCCCCCTTCTCATTTTCTTCCTGGTTCCCCTCCTGTGTATAGTGAGCCTTTTGCAGCATCAGCCACATGCATTATACTGTGGTAGTGGTTAAATACAAAGCTTAGCAATCCATGGAAAAACACCAGGCTTATTACTCTGGACTCTTTCAGAAGAAATAGCAACTGGTGCTGAGAAGTTAAGGGAATAAATGCTGCCAACTCAAGTCTTCTTCTTTCCCTCTTTTTTTTTTTTTATTCTAGTAAAGGAACAAACCCCTCAAACAAACAGAAGTCTTCCTGCATAACAAACACTTTCTCCCTCAAAACTGTTTTGAGACAGAGAAAGGCAGTAGTGGCAGCTGCTGGCTGAAAGGAGCAACTGCCTTTTTCCTTCCACATGGAATTAAGGATGGGTACATCAGATGACACAGAAACAGCACACATCTGCACTGACTGCCAAGATAAGGGAACCCGTGCTGCTGTTACACAGCTTCGTTTATGCCCGAGTCTCACCACATACAGGCAGTGTCACTGAGTATCCCCAAGGCACAGAGTCGAAACCATACTGAGCCCCACAGAAAACTTGGGACTTTGGTCCACCCGCCCTGTTATTCACTGCTGCCTTTACTCTGGAAGAGTAAACCCTTGCCTTGTCAGGCCATCATGGCTTGACTGCCTTCTCCTGCCAGAAAACTGCTTTGTCACAGCTAACAGCGATGTGACGATGACGTGACTCAAGTGTTGTCACGCAGCCCTTGCTGTGCACGAAGAGGATGGCAGCAGCGTGCTGGGGACAGAAAGGTGACGTTGCTCGGCAGGAGGGCGGTGTTCACTGCGATGCAAAGCTTCTCGTTTATTTGAAGAGGTGGCACAGAAGCACAGCTGAGACAGCCCATGACAGATCACCCACAACAAATCATCTCTGAGCTGACAGCGGCTTTGGAGCCGCAGCTGCTCTTGTCATGGCTGGGAGGAATAAAGCTCTACACAGCTGGCTGCAGCTGGCAGTCCTGACCCTCACAGCAGCAGCAAGAAACACTCATTACTCTCTCCCTGTCTCTTTGGAGATGAACCTTCCCTGCATCTATCCTGCTTTGAAGAGATGTGAGGACAAGAAAATGAAATAAGATTTAAAATCTCCTTTGATCAAAATTGAAGAAGAATCTCTTGTGATGTGATTTCAAGGAAGACAACAAGGAATGCTGATCACACCTGCTCATGCTCTGTGTCCCTCTTGGTATGGGCTGCTTTTCTCTCGACTGTCACTTGAGAGCAATGGGAAGATTGAAATGGGAGCATGACTAAATTGCCTGTCCCATATATAAATTAACATTTTATATGGTGTTTCACTCTGATTACTGGCTTTCAAATGCCAACTGCACTTGGAATAATAATTACCAGTGGCATTTATTAACTTAAATATCCCACTGTTATTAAAGGGAATATGACTTAGGGAACTCAACAACTTGTGACATCTAGATAACAGCTAGTGAAGACTTTAGACCAACTGCATCTTTTTTAACTGCAGTGACTGGTATTTTAGTTATCTTAGTTTATTAAATAGATCACCATTTTACTTTTCAGTTCTCACACAGCATATTGCTGCAGGCATATTTCAAAGAAAATTTTAAACACAATGTTCAAACTACAAAGATGTATTTTTCTAAAATGTTTCACAACGTTTGAGAAAATACATGTAATGACACATCCAGCAGTTTTACTATGCCTATTTTAGGCAGAACAACTTTGTTTGGATTTTGAGATGCCTATTCCTCTTCCTTTGAAATTCATGTCTCTTGTGAGAAACAGTCTTATCTCTCAAGAATAATTAGGATAAATAACAATCATGCAAATTTTATAATCTCAGACTAAAAAATGTGTGGTGGGTTGACCCTTAGTCTTATCTCTCAAGAATAATTAGGATTGACTAACAATCATGCAAATTTTATAATCTCAGACTAAAAAATGTGTGGTGGGTTGACCCTGGATGAGCAGTAAAACTCCCACCCAATTGCTTGCTCACTCCTACTCCATTCCCTGAAACCAGCTGGATAGAGGAGAAAATAAAAAGGACCAGAGTAAACAAGCTCATGATTAGAGATAAAGACAGGGATCCCTGGTCAGCTGGGAGAAAACTAGACTTTGCTCAGGGAATTAACTTAATTTATTGTCGATTGAGATAAATGTTTGGGCACTGATTTGGATAACAACAAACAACAGACTTTTGGGGAAGGGGGTGCCTGCCCCACAATGGAGCACCTCCTCCTCCTCCAACCCTGGCATTCCTCTGCTGCTTCTCACTCTTTTTGTCCCCTCCTCTTGCCTGTGCCATATCCTAAATATGTTTCCACAGAGGTGCCACCAGCTGTGCCCGTGTGTGCTCAGCTGTGCTGGGTCCAATTTGAAGCTGTCTGAAACCATCCTGCAGGGCAGTGCTGGCCCCTTCCCACAGAACCCAGCCCTGCAGCTCCCCTGGCTATCTGCCCCACATCGAGTAGGTCATTATTCAGACAGGAGGTTACATGATACTTTTCCATTGTTTATCATTCTTCCCTTTCTGAACTCTTGCCTGTACATCTCAGGGGAAGCAATTAAAACTAATGTGGAAATAGCGAAAAGTGACATGTTTTGGAAAACTTCTCTCCTTTTAGAAGCTAATTATTGTCTACATATGCAGTCACACATTAATAAATAGTGAGACACTCTAGGTGCTGCTAGATCTAACTAGAAACATGCAGCATCATCAGGGGAGGGCCTCATTCTTTGCTTGGGAATCTCCTTTCTCCAGTCAGGCATTTCTGCTCTGAACTACAGAGATGAATACCCAGTTATAAATAGCATATGACTTTTTTTTTTTTTTTTTTTACAAAGTAATGGAAAAACT